GATTTTTTATCATTTTTACTGCTGTGTCCCCAGCATCTAGGACAATTCCTAACCTCATCATCCACTGAATGGATGACAACATCCCCACTGGAGGACAGAACCAGCCCATGCTTCTTCCCAACCCTCTGCTCTCAGCTCATGCACTCAGCTACGCAAACAACCTCCTCCCTCCCACCACACACTGACCCACAACAGCCTGCTCTGGGTCCCAAACCACATTTCACCAGAACATTCTGCACATAACCTTATACACCCCTTCACTACAGCCCTCGTCACTACACAGGATCTATATACTACACATGCTATTCTGACTACAACACGACCTGCCATTGAACTCACAGACCTGCTGCACCCTATGGAACTGTGTTCTAGCCTGCATTTTAACCAGAAACCCACGTGACTTGTGTGTGCACATTAAAATTTAAGAATCTCTGCTAATCTGCATTATAGCAACCTTAGCACTGGATTGGGTTGTGCAAAAATAGATAAAACTGCGCAGGAAGCTACAGTCCTCTCTACCTAAAGTCCAACAGTCCAACACATTGCATCTTTAGATACTTTCCCAGCACACTCTACCAGCACACACAGCCCAACCACATGCTGCCGTGACAATTTGAAATTCAGCAGCCAAATTATATCCCTTTATAAATAGGGTAGTAACTTATACAACAACCAAGTTATTTGAGACACCCTGCTGTACATTAGAAAAACACCCTGCACTCTAATATATATCCCTAAAGAATCCCTTATGTTTCACAGCACAGTGTATTACAGCATCCTGTCTTATGGCCATTCATTTACTCACTCATTCATTCAGTAAAAATTCTTGGGCATCTATTGTGTGCTAAACTTTATGCTAGACACTGGGATTTGACACTAAAAAAATCACAATCTTGCAGACTAGTCAAAAAGACATTATATTGAACACAGAATTACAACAATGTGTGATGAGTTTGTTGATAGAACAGTAGCAGATCCCTGCTCAGGAATCCAGAAGAGACTCCTTGAATGGGTGATGTTGTATCGATTTGAAGTGGGAAAGGTTTTGGGGCATCACAGGTGGGGGGCTCTCCATGGATGAAGCTGGCAAGGGAAGAGGAGGAACTTTTCAGTTCCACGCATTTGAGGAACTGAAAGAAGCCCCGGACTGCTGGTTTGTGGCATCAGGAGCTGATGCTGGGGAGGGGACAGAGACTGGCCTTGGAAGACCTCAAAAGCCATATATGCCAGGGAGCAATCAATATTATCCTGGGGCAACAGAGAGCCATCAGGGGTGTGGGGGAGGTTAAGCAAGAGAGCTACACAACCAGATGTACATTAAATAAAAATTCCTCTTGTACTTTGCAACAATCCTCCAAAGCTAGTGTATTTTAGTACTGTTTCAAACAATACTAGGCTAACACAATAAAAGAGGCAGAGAGAGCAACTTAAAAAACCCATTTAAAGTTGTTTTAATGAGCCTCCAATAATAGCACCCTTCGCTGATGTTTGACTATAACCCTCTGTTATTGCCCCTTGTTTTTCTCTCACTGCACTCTCTTTAATAGCATGCATGCACCAGGAGCACTAATAGGTGCATACAAGCCCTTCAATATCCCGCAAGGCACATGGAACTCTGTACACACTCACCACAGGCCCTGCAGAAGTGGCAGATCAATAAGAAGGGGTGGGGAAGCAGAAATATAAAGTCCTCGAATGGGGTTGGGGGTTCTTAAGCCTGAATATGCAATGTTAAAGGATATAAGCAGATTGAATCAAATCGGGGGGGTGGGGGGTGCGTGCATTATCATTATTTCTAACTCGGTCTAAGGGGACCAAAGGCAAGGTCTGCTTCCCCTTAGAGCTGGTGGCAGAACATCTTGAAGTATATAGCCCAGTCCAGTCACTGTCCTTCAAAAGTCACTGTTAAACCCACATGAGGGAATTCAAGACATTAGTCAGCTGGAAATCATAACAAATGCAGAGCAGTTGGAGGATCTTGTTGATAATTATTATTAGTGTAATAATTTTTCTATTATCACTGATGACAATGGCTACCTTTTCCTGAGAATCTCCTATGAGCCAGGCACAGGGTTAGACCCTTTAGATTCATTATCATGCGGCAGGGATATTTAAAATATTTAACCACTTAGAATGGATGCAGGTTGTAAATAATCAGTACTAATAAGAACTGGCTAAATGTCAACCTGGCTTTGAGTTATTGCTACCCCAGAGGTTACAAACTGACATCCGTGGGCCACATAGGGTCATGGATGTATTTTATTTGCCCTGAACTATGTCTGAATTTTAAAGATTTGTTGCTGATATATCAAAAAATGGTGAGACTGTATCTAAAAATCCTGATTTCCAGCTTCTCATGAAACCATGAAGATGGAGCTGTGCTGAGCCTACATCCTGCAGGGCAGACCACTGGATGCAAACACTAGCTGAGCCTGTCCGACAGCTCTCCTGTTCTCCAGGCTGCCTCCGTCCCCACCATGCCTTCTTTCCCCATTTGCATTACCTGCCTGGCCTCTGTAGGCATCAGTCTGGGACCTGTTCCGGAAGTCACTACCTCATGCCCTAACTGGGAAGAGAACCAATATCTCACACTTAAAGAGGTGATTCTCCCTACCTTTCTCTGGCTTCTGCCTAGCTTTTAACGCTGAACTCCATATCAGTGACTCTCAACCTTGAGTGCATATCAAGTCATCTGAAGGGCTTGTTAACACCAGGGCACTGGGCTCCATCCCCAGAGTTTCTGATGCATGAGGTCTATTTGAGTGGGGCCCGAGAACTTTATCCCTAAAGTTCCCAGATGATGTTGGTACTGCTGGTCCAGGGACCACACATTGAAAAGCACCGCTCTACAACTATAGAGTAAACCCCAGTGTCCACTGGACTCAATGCTGGCAGCGATGGGAGTACCTGCATCTCTCCTCTGGCCAAGTGAGGGAAGGAGGGGTCCACATTCTGAGATCTCATAAATAGCCCCCCAAAACCAAATGAGTTGTGTATCCCATCTCTGAGTTCCCAATTAACTGAATGAAGAGCCTATGCTTGTTCTAGGTAACCTTTTGATTTTTTTCCAAATGGTCCAATAAAAATGGTGATACTGCCTACAACAACCACCCAAAGAGGGCATATGGACATTATCATAAGGAATAGCATCAGCAGGATTCAACACTGTGCTGCCCATCAAAGACCCTGCACCCGAGACATTAATTAATCAATGACACCACTAACAAAAATAATGATCAACTCTCCTTGAGTGCTTATTATGTACCAGGCACATACTGAGTGTTTTATGCATCGTAATGATCCTTTGATAGAAACTATTATCATTCCTGTATTAAAGATGACAAAACAGCAGATCTGAGAGGTAAACAGACTGGTCCAAGCTCACCAGCTCTGGAATAACCAAGAGATTGTTTGAATCACTGTATTTACTGAGGATCAGACACCATTAGGAATATTGTGCTCAATCCTATTTCTGGGTTTTAAGGCAGATGCTGATGACCTGGAGAACAATAGACACCCGGAAGTGATGTCACATGGGACATGCTTGCAGGAAGGGGTGGGGCAGGATTTAGCCTGGCAATCACAGGATTCAGGAGTATAAGCCAGCCTCCGCAAATGTCTGAAGGATGCTCTACAAAGAGAGGCTCTGGGGGCAGTTGTGGGGAGGGTGATTTGACATTAATTTATACGTTTGCAACAATTAGAAGGGCCACAGAGTAGAACTGGCTGCCTTTGATGGACATGGCTTCCCAACACCTGGAGGTATCTAGAGAGAAACAGGACTCATCAAGGATGCTGCAGAGCTGTGAGAATCACCTGAAGAGTTTCTGAAACTACACTGCTCTGTGCCCAGGGCATTCTGGTAGGCCTTCAATGGAGTTAGACTGTCTGAAGTTTGGATCTTTGCTTCATCACATGCTGGCTGAGTGACTGGGCAGAGCACTTAATCTCTCTGAGTTTCCATTTCCTCTTCTGCAAAGTGGAATAATAGCACCTGCATTAGTAGGTTGTTGGAAGGATTTAATTAGACGCTACATGCAAAGTGCTTAATCTGGCACCTAACACATAATAAGTGCTCCAGAAATTAATAACAATAATAGTATCAAAATAAGTATCATTATCATCTAATTCATCTTAACACCGAGACCTTTCCGACTTTAGGTTTCAATGACAATATTTATGTTCACTTTTCAGCCTCAGTGGGTAGTTTTACAACCCATAATAAAGTCACCAGGTCTGAGCTCTACTTAATTTAACAAAGAAATCTCCTCCCAGCAGAATCGCAGTTCTGATTAATTCAGATGCAAACTCCTCCTCCCTGATGCTGACAAGTACTCCCTGCTGAGTCTTTGGGGATGAAAACCTTCCCCTGGGCACACAACTGTGGGAAATATGAGACTTTTGCTCTTGCCTTATAAAAGTTATCTCAAAGCCATATTTACACCCAAAGCGTCCAGGAGGTCTATGGTTCAGGAGCATGTCAGATCTGTTTCATTCTATTTTGCCTTGGGTGGGAGCTAGCTGGTCTTATTTACTGACTCAGACATAGTGTCATGTTTCACAATTAAATTTAAATACTGTTGAGATAAACAACCTGACCTTTTCAATGTCAGTAGGAAGAGAAAATGATACAGTCAAACCAAGGAAAGAACAAGGGCAAAATCAGACTTTATCACAGTCCAAAAATGGATCTGAACTCTGCTCACCAAAGATCCATTCCCCAAAAGTTGTCGGCTGAGACAGTTAACAAAAATTGAATCGATGAAACAAAAATATCAATATTAATTGTCTTTCCCATATGTGCAGAGGATGGGCTGTGCAAATGGAAATCTCCATCTTTGTACCCAGTGGCTTTGTGTGTAAGTGTGAGCTCGTGCAGACATATTCTAGAAGGTACGTTGCCATTTACCCCCAGAGAGCATTCAGAGCGCACATGGTGGGCCAGAGAGAGAGGGTGCTGTGTTATGAGTGCCCGACAGTCAGAGAAAACAGTTACTTACAGCTTTTGGCTTATATGGGGGCTGAATCTCTTTGCGTTCAAGTTTCTCCCAATCAATATACCGGAAAAATGCATGCTCTTTAATGTCACGTTCGCCTTCAGGTCCACAACCCAGACGCTTGCCCGGGTGTTTGGTCATCAGCTTCAGGACAAAGAAAAACATTGAATGTAATGAATTTCGGAAGAGGAAATGTGAGATACTCAAAAAGTATTACTCTAATGAATTAGGGAAGAAAGCACCATGAAGAATCTCAATGGATTTTTAGTTTTTGCTTTTCATCTGGCAATAATTTCCTAGCCAGGTCTTTGGAGCAGAGGACCCGACCACAGTGCCTGCTGCAGCTTACCCCAGAGCAAGATCCCTTATGGTTGCCTGAATGTGGTCTTGAGCTTCAAGTTACAAATGCCACACGATCCATTTTGGTTTGTGAATGAGTTTCATGCAATTACTGGTGAATTTAATGAGAACATTTTCAATATCTCCAAACTCCTCTTTTCCCATCACAAGAAACTGAAGTTTGACCAAGGCAAAAGGCCACATTCATTCAGATACTATTTGCACTTCTCAGTAAAGCACTTGTGGAAATGGCAAAAGAAGAAAAAATATTAGCCAAATGGACCCAAGTTTCAAGTGATTACTTTCTGAAAGCTCATTAAATAGTCAAAACGTAGCCCAGCTCATTTCCCCTGTATCACACGTAATACTAAACTCCGCTGAGGTTTCTTTGGTGTTCCGTTTAAATTACTTAATTATCAAAGCCCTCCATCTTTGGGTCTCTGAGCCAGTGAGAAATAAAAAGATGAATAGATACTCCAAGATGAAACCAGACAGGCTTCCTCTTGTAAATGAATCCAAAGCAGCATGAAAATATCTCTGATCTCAAGGCTTCAGCAAGTACCCATAGAGTAAAGACGAAGGAGTTGGAGGTTAAAAAAAAAAAAAAAAAAGACAAGAGAGCATCAAAAGAGGAAACCATAAGGATTGCAACATTTAAGTCCAAGAAACTTCCCAGGGTTGATCTGATACCAAGTGGCCCATGATGTCAGAATCCAGAAATTTTGCCCAGGACTTGCCGATTATGGGGAAGGGATAAACCCAGCAATTCACACTTAAACTGCTGGACATTCAGCTTAGCCTGTTTCCTGCTCACAGATGATCTGTGGTCATACATACAGCACATACTTTCCAGATATGCTTTACCTTCCAGGGGGAAAAATCACTGGGCACATAGGTTCTAAGCTACTTCTCTATTCACATGCACGATTTTACCTGATTGTCACAATAACTCAGTGAAGTGGGTACATTGTTTTTCCCATTTGAATGACAGGGCAATTGACCCTCAGGGAAGTTAAGCAACTATCAAGGACTCACAGAGATAGTCAGTGGTAGAGCTACTGGGAACTGTATCCCACCTCTGCCTAACACTAAAACTTGGGCTTTTAAAAGAGAAATGGGAGAGTGCTTTACATGTGGTTTCCCAGGGATATCTATGGCCTGGCTTGGTAAGGAAAAGTCTACAGAGGGCCATCAAATTGAGCCAAGCCTGCCATGTGCACAGGATTCGGATGGAAGGAAAGGGCTATAAGGCTTTGGTTAACACTGACAGTAATAATATCAATAAAGGCTTCTGTGCACTGAGCACATCCTATGTGTCCAGGCTCTGTGCTAAAGCCTCCCCAGCCATTCTCATTACTGTTTAATTTTTACAACACTCCGAGGTGTCAGCAAAATTATTTCTATTTTTCAGATTAAAAAACTAGGTGTGGCTGGCCAGTTAGCTCACTTTGGTTGGAGCATGGTGCTGACAACACCATGGTCAAGGGTTCGGATCCCCTACCAGCCAGAGCCAAAAAACCAAAAACCAAAAACCAAAACAAACAAACAAACAACAACTAATCCAGAGAAGTAAAGCCATTTGCCTGAGGTCACACAGCTAAGGAGCAGAGCCAGGCTCTGAACAGATCTGCCCGACCCAGAGCTCTCAGAGTTCTGTGCTGCTCAGTCTCTGCTTTTCACTTTAACGTGCACCCAATCTGGGCTTCTGTTGGCTTTAAGCTGGTTCAGAATGGGAATGGCAATCTGAGCAAAGCTTCACTAATTTTTTTTAATGGCAGAAAATATGGGATAAATATATAGAGGACACCACTTCAATTGGAAAGGAGACTGTTTTCAAAAACCTAGTTCAATTTCCATCTAAGCAGGAAGATGCCAAGCTAAGAAAAGCCACTGCAGAAACATCCAGCACTAATTTGGAGGCTCTGCCCAGTTCCTGCACTCTGCTCTGCTGTGCCTGAAGCCATGAAGACAGCTGGATTTAATCACTGTTCCAATCCCTGATCACCTCCCAGACGCATCCCCTGGGGCCTGCTGTTCAGATAAGCATGGCACCTTCTTCAGAGTATCAGCCTTGAAGAAAGAGCCCACATTGGACTCAGCCCACTCAACTCAGAAAGGTCCCCAAACCCAACAGTATGAAAGTCACCCCCGTTAATCCTGAAGGTTACGGGTCCTGAGTTAATATAGCAAACTGTTCTACCAGGGAAACTGCTAATTGGAGCTGAAGCTGAATGCAGCTGACCTGGAAAATCCTCTCTCCTCCATGACCCACTTAGAACCCCCAGCTGTCGAGGCAGGGTGGGCTTGGGAAGGGGAAGAACCTGAGAACGTATTGAGCACCTACTATGTGCCAACACCATGCAAGGAGCTTTCTCTTAGGTTACCTCATTTAACTCTCTCAAAAACTCTGTTCAGGGCCGGCCCGTGGCTCACTTGGGAGAGTGTGGTGCTGATAACACCAAGGCCACAGGTTCAGATCCCATATAGGGATGGCTGGTTAGCTCACTTGGGTGAGCGTGGTGCTGACAACACCACATCAAGGGTTAAGATCCCCTTACCAGTCGTCTTTTGTAAAAAAAACAAAAAACAAAAAACTCTGTTCAATAAGTACTATAATTCCATTTTTAGAGATAAAGAAATAGAAGCCCAGAGATGTAAAGAAACTTACTCAAGACTGTGTACCTAGTAAGTGGAAGGGTTAAGATTTGCAAAGGGTGTCTTGGCCTCTCAAATGCCCCACTTAAAATTCTTCTTGCAGAGGATGCAAACTCAAATGCCAAGAGGAGCCTGGCATGTAACAGTATGCCAACGTTAGTAACAGTAACAATAATGGCCAAAGGGTTTTGGAGCAGAGTGCCAGGCTCTATTCTAAGTGATTTACAGGTATTTACTCATTTATTCATCAAAGAATCCTATGTGTAGTGCTATTATTATTCCCATTCTACAGATAAGGTTCAATAATTTTCCCTGGTCATAGGGCTAATAATGACTGGACCAGAATTTGAACCCAGATAGAACTGGGCCAGATGGGGATTTCTGCAAATTGCAGAGGGCACACCCCATCTAAAGCAGGCAGTGGTTTCCAATCCAGCTGACTGATGCTTTGCAGAAATAACAGGCCAATGTGGCAAGATCTGATTTTTCAAGAGAAACCGGAGAACTGGATGTTTATGGGAAATCTCCTGATCTGTTGGCAATTATTAAACAAACTAAAAGCTCAGTGTATGATCTACTCCCACTATCCTCCTCCCTTCAATAAAATGTCTCTACTGGTCTCTTTTTCTATGGGCTCTGATTAAGTTTCTAATGAACCTCTGGGTCTCCACTCTCCCCCACTTTTCTTCTCCCTGCCTCACACCCTCAAAGGAAATATTTTCAACCAACTCACTTCAAGATGTTAGGAACTGAGACTAACTCACATGTGGTTTGCCCAGGGATATCTGCATCTTAACCTATGTAGCTGAAACACAAAGCGCAGGTGATTTGCCGAGAGTTACACCGTCTAGGCAGTGTAACAAGGCGCTTTTAGACTGAGAGGTTGGCCCAGCTAACACAAACTGGGCCAAGCCTCAGGCTGGTCTATCTGAATTTTTCCAGCTTCCCTCCTCCAAGACCAGGTCATATGGCATCTGACTGGGGTCAGGGAGGTCAGGCTGGGTAGGGCATGAGAAATCTGCAGACATCCTAAAGATATAGAACTGGCAGCCCTGTTTTATTCAGACACAGGTGGGAGCCTGCTGTTAAGGCACGGCCATGATCTGACCTTGAGAACACACCTGCACCACTGGCAGGTGGGAGAACAGATACTTCACAAAGGCACCATCCTTGGACCACATTCTCTGGGACTCTCATAGTGCTGCTTGGCACTTCCAGCAGAGGTGAACAAAAACTCCATTTGTAAAATATGTTTAAAGACAGCGGTTTTCAAGCCACATGCAGACTTTTTCAAAACACTGATGCCAGACTTAATCTTTGGGGTGAGGCGAAGGTACGTGCATTCTGAAAAAGCTCTTCAGGTCATCCTCATGGCTCCAAAGTTAAGGATCACTGACCTCTATGGTCTCACAATGACTGTGAGCACATCCTGGCCCAACACAAGATGCAAAACAAACAGTTCTTATCTGTGAACACATATCCCAATTTCTTCACAGGTGCAATCTGCAGACACTATAAGTGTATAAATATACATGCCCTTTCTGCCACTTGTGTGTGTGTTGAGTTCGGGAGAGAGTGGGGGTTTTGGGATACCGAATTTGGGTCAGCTTATCTAGAGAGCCCTTTAAACTCAATACTGCCTGATATTGTCTTAGAAAAAAGCTACACACTGTTAGTATTAATTAAACACAGCAGGGCAAGGTAGCCTAAATTGTGCTGAGGACCTCTTGCACCCCTTCCCATGGGTTCCAGCTCTTTGGCAAAGTCCCTGTGCTTCCTACCTCATTCACTGAATAAGCATTGCCTGTGCTAGGCTAGAGGCTGCAGCCCAGCCAGCAGTCAGAGGCTGTTGCAGGCAAACCTCTGTAGTGCTTGTGTGCGAATGAGAATAAATCTCTTTCTTCTTTTTTTTTTTAAAAGATGACCGGTAAGGGGATCTTAACCCTTGACTTGGTGTTGTCAGCACCACACTCACCCAGTGAGCAAACCGGCCATCCCTATGTGGGATCCGAACCCGTGGCCTTGGTTTTATCAGCACCACACTCTCCCGAGTGAGCCACAGGCCGGCCCCGAAATCTCTTTCTTCTAGAAGGCGGCAGCTCAATGCCAGGGCTCTCACCTTGGCAAGTGGGGGCAGGGGGTGGAGTTCAGTCTCTGCTCCCCGCTGACAGGGCATCCCTGTGAAGGGCACAACTGGCACCCCTGTATGTGGCGGTGCTGGCCACAGCTCTAAGACATCTACTCACCCCTTTGCAGATGGCCACAGCTTCCTTGGACATGGACTTTGGATAAGCCACGTTGTGTTCCATGATGGACTGGAAGAGTTCATCCTCATCCTCTCCTTCAAAGGGCGCCTGGGCAACAGAGGGGAGGGTCAGAGGAGAACGATCCCTCCCTGAACCCTTCCACCAGCTGCCCCAAACTGGCAGGTCCTCTTCCCAGGAGCCCACAGCAAGGCCACCTTCCAGGGCTTTCAAGAAGACGAGGAAAAATGGCCAACAGACTTGGATAACCCCAAGGCCAGGAAAGTCACAGAGGTTCAAATTTATGAGCTGTTACCAAGGCTGATGCTTTCTTCTAAAGAAACCATATGGATGGGGGTGGGGGAGGACTTTTCTTACAGATCACTTAAAATTGAATTACCTGCCCAGCCAACATTTCATACAGCAGGACTCCAAATGCCCACCAGTCAACGGACTTTCCATACGGCTGATAAGCAATTATCTGGAAAACAGAAGGGAGGCTTACAGTTCATGTGGCAGCTGGAGACTGAATCCACACTTCACTGGTATGGGGTGATACAGGGAGAATTCTTCTCTGGCATGTCACTTGCCTATTGTGAAAATCACACTGGCTGTCACAGTCCCAGATGCAGGCCAGTGTCTCAAAGAGTGGACAGAAAGGCCAGTGCCCACCTGAGCTATTTCTTTACCTTAGCTACCCAGAGAATGATGGACATGCTTCACCGAAGTACCTGCAGCCGGACAAACATCTGTGGATGTCACTTTGCTTTTTTGAAGCACTGAGTATGGTGTGTTATTATTTTTTCATATTTCAAAACAGTGAGTATGTTTTAAGAGGAAAAACTGTCTATTTCTCATTGTAAAAGTAGTAACATTTACACAATAATGTGAATATACTTAACACTACTGAACTATACCCTTAAAAATGCTTAAAATGGTAAATTTTATGTTGTGTTTTTTAAACACAATTAAAAATAAAAACTTTTTAAAAGTAGCAACATCTGCTCCTATTTTACTATTTATTCAGAAAGTATAAATAAGCTAAGAAAATAAAATTTAAATCACCCATAATCCTTTATCCAAAGAAAAAATATGACTAATATTTGGGTTATTTTCTCCCAGACTCCTGTCTACGAATACCTATTAAACTGCGTATATGTGTGTTTTTTACATAAACACTTTAGTATGTGAACCTTTAATAAAATGTGTTAGTCAAATTTCCCTTGCTAATATCTGTACATCTGTATACAGTCACGTGTTGCCTAATGATGTTTCGGTCAATGACTAACTGCCTGTGTGTTTTTTACATAAACACTTTAGTATGTGAACCTTTAATAAAATGTGTTAGTCAAATTTCCCTTGCTAGTATCTGTACATCTGTATACAGTCACGTGTTGCCTAATGATGTTTCGGTCAATGACTAACTGCACATATGATGGTGGTCGCGGAAGATTATAATGGCTATAGTATATAGCCTAGGTGTGTGGTAGGCTGTACCATCTAGATTTGTGTAAGTACACTCTACAATGTTAGCACAATGATGAAACTGCCTAACAACACATCTCTCAGAACATACCCCCGTCATAAAGCGACTCAGGACTGTGATTGGCTTTTACCTCTGCATAGCATTCTGTTGAATGGATATACCAACATTTATCTTACTAATTCCCAATTGATTAGGTTTCTTCTGATGGTGCAATACATATCCTTATAATTAGATATTTGATCATATGTCCAATTATTTCCTTAAGATTAATTCCTAGAAGTAGAATTGGTGGATCAAGTGGTATATGCAGTTGTAAGGTTATTACCAAATTGCCAGAGCATGGTGAAGTCTAGAATACCTGTGTGACTGTTCATCGGCCAGTGTGCAGGGGTGTAACACTAACTGTGTCACTGGTGTTAGGAGGTGATATAACAAAGATTAAGGGCTGAGATTTGAGGGTCCAACAGACTGAGTTTGAATCCTGACTGCCACTTTCCAGTCGTGTGACCATGGGGCAGTTAACTTCTGTAAGCTTCAGTTTCCTCATCTGTAAAATAAAGTTTATCATAATATCTACGTCATGGGGTTGTGAAGATAAATGAGGTACCAGGTAGCACTCACATATTATGCTCCCCAAAATGTTAGCTATCACTAGAATGTTCCCTAATTCCATAATTGTTTGTCTTATTCAATAAAGGTGTTAGAGCAAACTCAGCTATAAAGTAAGTATCCGTTTCTGGAACTCCATCTCTCACCTCGGATTCCACTCTAAAATCAGAAATGCAGAGATGTTGGTCAAAGGATACAAAATTTCAGTTAGACAGGAGGAACACGTTCGAGAGGTCTATGGTACAACATGGTGACTACAGTTAACAACAACGTATTCTATTCCTGAAAATTGCTGAGAGTGGATTTTGAGTGTTTTCACCCCACAAAAAATGATAAGCATGTGAGGTAATGCAGACGTTAATTAACTTGATTTAGCCTTTCCACAATGTATACATATTTTAAAACAACATGTTGCACATGATGAATGTATCCAATTTTATTTGTCAATTACAAATAAATAAATGAGTGCATAGCCAAGAGTTGGAACCAGCCCAAATGTCCATCACTGGATGAGTGGATACGGAAAATGTGGTATATCTACACAATGGAATACTACTCAGCTATAAAAACGAATGAAATACGGCCACTTGCAACAACATGGATGGACCTTGAGAGAATTATATTAAGTGAAACGAGTCAGGCAGAGAAAAAGAAATACCACATGTTCTCACTTATTGGTGGGAGCTAAAAATAAATAAATAAATTCACTCACACACACAAATAATAACGGGGGGGGGGGAGAAGATATAACAACTACAATCCTTTGAAGTTGTTACAACAAGCAAATGGAAAGGACATTGTTGGGTGGGAGGAGGGAGAGGGAGGAGGGAGGGAGGTTTCGGTAATGGGCCATAATAATCAACCACATTGTATATCGACAAAATACAAATTTAAAGGAAAAACAAAAACAAAAACAAATAAATAAATGAAACATGCTCTAAAGAGAAGTAACTGCCAGACACTGAAGGGAAAGATTTCTGTGAGAATACTTCTCATTCAAAGTGTTTTCACATTTTTAAAGTACTTCATGTCTTATCTGATCCTCATGACAACCCAACAAGTTCATCTTTTTACAATGGAAAAGAGAGCCTGGGGAGGCGAGAGAAGCGACCAGAGGTGATGTGGTCAGTTAATGGCAAGGCCTCACCCACAGCATCTTCCTCCCATCGGAGGGCTGCAGGAGAATACTTCACCCACAGCAACACGGATCAGGGCATCTGTGCTGTCCGCATCATCACCAACCAGGAACTTTTGAAAACCATAGGTCCTGGCCTTCACCCTGCAGAGACTCTAACTCAATTGATCTAGGATGACGCCTGGGCATCCTACATTTTAAAAGCTCCCCCAGGACTCTAAAGTGCAGCTAGAGCTGAGAACCAGAGATTATCGAACTCATGATATATCAAGGATTTTTTTTTTTTTACCTTTTTTTTTTTTTTTTTTTTTGTCTTTTTTCATGACCGGCAACAGATCGCAACCCTCAGTGTCGCGCCCGTACCGGACGTTGCTCTCGCACCTCACTCAGCCAGTGAGCAGCCGGTCTGTATGTGGGATCCGAACCCTCGGCGGGAGAGCCGCGGCGCTCCCAAGCAGTGCACTGTAGCATGTGCCACTGGGCCGGCCCAGAATTTTTTTTTTTTTAAAGATGACCGGTAAGGGGATCTTAACCCTTGACTTGGTGTTGTCAGCACCACACTCACCCAAGTGAACGAACCAGCCATCCCTATATAGGGATCCGAACCTGTGGCCTTGGTGTTATCAGCACCGCACTCGAACCAGCCATCCCTATATAGGGATCCGAACCCGTGGCCTTGGTGTTATCAGTCCCACACTCTCCCGAGTGAGCCACGGGCCCTAAGGAATTATATTTGAGATTGTGTCTGATATCCTAATCAATTAACAAAATAATAATAGATCAAAGTATGTCACAAAGGAAAATCTCCACTGGGCTTTAATAAAGAATTAATTTTTAAAAGGATTTCTTTCTCATTACTCAAGGAATACACAAATACATTTCTCTTGTGAAAAATGTAAAAAGTATACAGGTGAAGTTAAATTTCCCTTTACCATGCTCTTATCCTCAGAGGTAACTAATGTTAGAAAATTGGTCTGTAATTGTCCAGATTTTGTGTGCTTTTACACGCGTGTATACATACTCATAAAAAAGACATAGTGGAAGGCCGTCCCGTGGCTCATTTGGGAGAGTGTGGTGCTGATAACACCAATGCCATGGGTTTGGCATTGTGCTGCCAACACCAAGTCAGGGGTTAAGATCCCCTTACTGGTCATCTTTAAAAAAAATATGTATATATATATAGCATTATTCTGTGTATTGTTACTGCTATCCATAAATGGTATTATTATCATTCTGTACCTTGATATTTTTTTCCTCTTAAAAATGTCTTGAAGATCTTTCCATATCTATATATACAAGGGTACTTAAAAAGTTCATGAAAAAATAGAATTGAAAGATAACATGAATGGGCCGGCCCGGTGGCGCACTGGATAGTGCGCCGCTTGGGAAGCGCGGCGGCGCTCCCGCCCGAGGGTTCGGATCCCACATACAGACTGGTTCCCGCTCACTGGCTGAGCGAGGCGCAGGAGCAACACTGAGGGTTGCGATCCGTTGCCGGACACGGAAAAAGACAAAAAGACAAAAAAAAAAAAAAAGAAAGATAACATGAATGGGCCGGCCCGGTGGCGCACTGGATAGTGCGCCGCTTGGGAAGCGCGGCGGCGCTCCCGCCCGAGGGTTCGGATCCCACATACAGACTGGTTCCCGCTCACTGGCTGAGCGAGGCGCAGGAGCAACACTGAGGGTTGCGATCCGTTGCCGGACACGGAAAAAGACAAAAAGACAAAAAAAAAAAAAAAGAAAGAAAGATAACATGAATCTTCCCATGAAATTTTTGAAGTAGCCTCGTATATCTAACTCACTCTTCTGAATTGATGCCTAGTAGTACTTCATGTTCTAAATACATCAGACTCTATTGCTCATTCCCTTGTTAAGGGACATACACAATACACAGACCCTGTGTCATATGTCAGCTCAGGGGATCTGCCCTCTCTCTCTCTCCCCAAATATTTTGGTGTCATAATTAGGAGGAATCTTATGACCATGAGCCATAGCAGCTTGATGAAGAACTTTACTGATGTGTGTTGGATGGTTCTTTTGAGTTTTATTTAAAATTTCTCCCAAACCTTGATGTATTTTGGGTCTGAGCTTCTGGATGTGTGCTAAGTTAATTTGCATGTGTGATCTCAAAGGAATGATTTAGAGTATAGAATAAGGACCAGCCCAGGGTTCGCTTGCCAGGTACCACCCTCAACCCTTCCCAGCTCTCACGCGGCCATATGGGGAAGGGGGGGGCATCACCACAACGTGGATGTGCAGAAGAGGGGTACCATCAGCTCTCACCTCAGGGGCTATGTAGTCTGGAGTGCCACAGAAGGTCTTGGTTGTCACCCCATCCCAGATGTTTTCCTTACACATGCCAAAATCAGCAATCTTGATGTGCCCCTCAGAATCCAGCATCACGTTGTCAAGTTTTAGGTCGCTGTGGCAGACATAAGAATTTAGGGATTTAATTAAACACTGTTTCAAGCCAACCAACAGCCACTCATTATGCATTAAATACTGTGCTAGATATTGTGGGGGCATCAAGGTGAGTATAAACCATCCCTTGCCCTCCAAAAGCTTACAATCTGTCAGGGAGATAAAAAGGGGTCCACAAGCCTCTGTGCTTTTCTTTGTCTACAGAGCCAGCTGTGCCAAGTGTCTCACGAGGACACAAGGCAACAGCTCTGAGAAGAGAGAGAGAGACACAGAGAATCAAAGGACAGAGCATCTATAGAGGCCTCCAGAATCCAGGAGAATTCCAAGAGTTGATCTTTGCAACTTAAGGACCCCCTATATTTTGTAGGAAGATATATTTTTCTTTTTCTTTTTCTTTTCTAAGATGACTGGGTAAGGGGATCTTAACCCTTGACTTGGTGTTGTCTGCACCACATTCTCCCAAGTGAGCTAACCGGCCATCACTATATAGGGATCTGAACACGTGGCCTTGGTGTTGTCAGCACCACACTCTCCCAAGTGAGCCACCTGCCAGCCCTGGAAAATATTCTCCCAAGTGAGCTAACCGGCCATCACTATATAGGGATCTGAACATGTGGCCTTGGTGTTGTCAGCACCACACTCTCCCAAGTGAGCCACCTGCCAGCCCTGGAAAATATATTTTTCACAAAATTATTATTTGCTTAATATCTCTGAAAATCATGGAGGGAAAAAAAAAAACTCATTGAGATAAACATAGTTAACTCCAAGTGCTTCAAGCTCTCCTGGGTAGCTTCTTAGGATCCAGGAGTTCCCACTGATTCTTTCAATCAAAATATTTGTTGCACACCTAGTATGTGATGACAGACACTAATGCCAGGAGTTAGATATATAGCTGTGAACAAGATAAACAAGCATTCTTCTCTTATTCAGATTAAATTCTAGTGCAGAAAAAAAGACAATTAGCAAGCACTCAAATCTATAAGCATGATTATTATAGATTCTGATAAGTGTTATAAAGAAAATAAAGAGGACAATGAAATAGTAATCTGGGCAGGTCATTTTAAACAGGGTGTCAGGAAGGATTTCTGTAAGGCGATGAGCTTTAAGCTAAAGGATACGTGCTATACTCTCATTTTTTTAATATCCATCTGTGTTGATGAGAAAAGCTGGTATTTTGGGGAACCCCTGCATGCCTCCAGCATATAGGATTGCTCCAACATCAACACACTTTCCTCCTCCCTAAACACCTTCTGCAACGTCAACACTTTGTGTTTCAACACCAGTGAGGAGGGATGATACACGGGTCAGACCGTCCCAGTTTTATAGAAGATGGGGAAGTCCAGCTTCCTGAGAGGTAAGAGGATCTACTGCTCAGTTCGGATCTCTCCCCTAAATCATCCTGATTGGGTGGTGTGCATCTGAATAGGTGGTTTCTGCCTATTTTAGCATCATTCCTTTGAAGAACTGTCTTTCCCCAATTCTCAAGGCATGTAACATGGGTGGTGCTAAACTTAATTCCTGTAATGGTCCCACAAGCCTTCTGGCCAGTAAAAATAGTCCACCCTGATGGTCACAGAGATTGATTCAGGAATGAGCATGTGACCCAATCTGGGCTAATCAAAGCCACTAAGTATCAGCCCTGGTCATTTTGTTGGTGCTATCAGGAAAAAGATAAGCTCTTTTTATACTGGGATTGCTCAAGTGGTAGACTGTAAGTCTAGAAGCTCTAGGGGTCACCAAATTGAGAGATAAGTTAGCACAGATAAAGCAGAACCTAGAGAGAGGGTGAAGATTGAACCGTCATTATATTACCTGTGCCTGCATCTATCCACACCTGAAGTCAGATCTGCCCCTGGAGTTTTCAGTGATGCCAGCCAATAAATGCCTCTTTTAAGTTAGTTTGAATTGAGTTGCTGTCATCACTTCCAACTGAAAGAATAGAACCTGAAAATACATCCTGGCATGTCCTATCTGTGTACGTGGGGTCTCTTCATCCAATGGGGGGGGTCCACTTGCACCCACCGTTTGCCAAGCAACATTCCACCCTCTTTGGCTCTGTCCATGGTACTGCTCAAATTAAACCTTCGTGCTTACCTATAAGCCAAGGTGGTCTCTGAATACTAGGTTGGAACTTAGAAGAACTGCACTTTACAGCAACTTGCTTCACACAAACATACTAGGTCTACATGTAATTTTATGAATAGAGACACATGATATCTCTCAACTTGACCACATGCCCACAAACAGGAAGTTGGATCAACTACAGAAGTGATAAAATCTTTGTTATAGAAAAGGAGTTCCAGGTGCCACAAGCCAGCAGGTCTTGGGGCTGGAAGACACCCTGTCATATTCACTGTCGCAGAGCAGTGTTCTGATATTCCACTGCCTTTCTTTGTTCTATGTAATGAGTCCTCATTTCTACTTCAAAAGGGGCTGAAGCAATTGCTTTCATCTTCAGAAACCCGTCAAGGTACCCTGTCATATTCACTGTCGCAGAGCAGTGTTCTGATATTCCACTGCCTTTCTTTGTTCTATGTAATGAATCCTCATTTCTACTTCAAAAGGGGCTGAAGCAATTGCTTTCATCTTCAGAAACCCGTCAAGGGCAAAATCAACACACATGCCAGAGACGGTGATCAATGAATGAGAGACTACACTTGACAGGAAGGATCTTTCATCCTCCCTCCTCCCAACATCTCCAGCCATGTTCCTCAGAGAGGGTAAGTCCAACATAATTCCTTATCCTCTGTACTTAAAAGCTGTCCAGTTAACTAGAGATCCAACTGAAGACAGGAGTGATTTGTAACATTTTAAAAGACTTTACCACCGTGAAAGCAATCTCTATGAAATTATTAAACTATACATCTTTTGTCATGTAATTTTTTTTATAGTTTTCATTTGATTATCAATTTCAATGGACATTCTTGGTGTTGAGCAACAAAATACAACTCTGAAGATTTCAACCTGAAAAGGAATTTATGAAAGGATATTGGGAAGGAGGCTGAAGAATCAGATAGGAGGCTACACAGCCAGAAAAAAAAATGCTGAGTTGCAACACAGAGCTTGTCCAGTGAAGTCACCACTGATGCCAGCTGCTATAGCCTGGATTCCCCCCAACGTCACTGAAGCTTAATCCCCACTGTGACTGCTGAGGGTGGGAAGTGCTATTATGATAATTGAAAGGTGGGGCCTTGAAGAGGTGACTGGATTGTAGGACCGTGCTGGATTAATAATGGTGGTTGGGGGCGTGGTTCTGAGGGCTTTAAAGGAAGAGAACACGAGAGGTTAACCTCTCTCTGCTCCACTATTTTCTACCATGTGAGACCCCTGGGTCACTGCTGCCATCACCAAGGCCTTCACCAAATGTGTTCCCTGGGCTTTGGACTTTCCAGCCTCCCAAACTGTAAGCAATACATTTTGTTTTCTTATAAATTACCCAGTTTCAGGTATTGTGTTATAAGCAACAGAAATGGACTAATATACCACCAATGGACACAGACGTGGTCCCTTGTTCCAGAAAGGCCTCATGCTGGACTCTGCATGTTGCTGCTCAAAACCACCTCTCCTCTTGCCTCTGGACACTAGCTGTAGCTGATTAATATGGCCACTCTCGGTCTCTGCTTCCTTGGTTACCAGTTTCTGATTCAAGGTGAGTATGAATGAGCGGCAGAGCCTAGGTCGTGTGCTTTCCCTGGTTACAGGGAGGCTGTGTAAGGAAGTATCAGGTGTTTTCAATCTTTATAGGAGGAGAGGGACTCTGTTCTCACACACAAAGGGGTTCAGATGGTGACTGGCTTAAGAGATTGATCAATATTCCTTTAAAAACCATACTAAGTAAGCGTAAGAAGGAGGAGGATGGGGAGAGGGTGGTCAATGGATACAAAATTGTAGAGAGATAGAAAGAATAAGATCTAGTGTTCTATAGCACTGCAGGGAGACTACAGTCAACAATAATTTATTGTATAATTTCAAATAGCTAGTAGAGAGGATTTTGATTGTTCCCAACACAAAGAAATGACAAATGTTTGAGGCGATGGATGTGTTAACTGACCTGATATGATCATTGCACACTGTATAAGTGTACCCACATATTACATTATACCCCATAAATATATACAACTATCATGGGTAAATCAAGAAAAAATAAATTAAAAAAAAAGAAAGAATTCAGAGACAGAAGTAGATTAGTGGTTACCAGAAACCAGGGGAAGGAATAATGGGAAGTTATTGCCTGATGGGTACAGAGCTTATGTTTAGGATGACAGAAAAGTTTAAGAAATATATAGAGGAAGTGATGGTTTACATAGCATTGTGAATTTAATTAATTCCACAGAATTATATGGTTACAAATGGTTAAAATGGCAAATCTTATGTATTTTTTGCCACAATTTAAAAATAAATTCAAAAAAACATAACAGCGGAGTATGAAAGGGAGAATGTGTAATAGGTTAGCAGAGCGGGCTTTGGAGTAGGCGTGGTCATAGCACTTGAAATGCTTATCTTTGGGTTTTATGACCTGACTGGCCAATGGACTGAGTCCACGGAGCCTAGATCTCAATCCATTTCCCTGCTAGATTGGAAACTAGCCCTGAACCCCAACCCAGTTGACCAGAACTCTATTTTCTCTCCTGGTCCTTATCCCAGAACTAGATTTTCTTCTAATAAACTTGTAGTTCCATATTTAATCTTCTCAAGAACCCAGTTGGTTCTACTCCAGTGCAGGTACATCCTGCACAGGAGTTAGGTACAATGTCAGCACATAAGGTGAAAATCACGTAGAGTGAAAAATTACCCGTGATCCCTGCTTCTTTGATTGAGCACCAACTCAAGTCATTGGCTTGAATTTAGGGGTCACGTCAAGTGGAAAATTATGTGAACCTTTCAACACAAGCATTGCATCTGGCACAAAAAGATGTTCACACTATGAGAGTCAAAAGGGAAATGAGGGAATGAGAGGATTCACATGTCCCATCTCATGCTCACGTGGTGAGAGATGTTCATCGAGGGCAAGAATATACAGAATGATCATACTATTTAAAATTTAAATTCCTCTTTTTCTCTCTATTTCTATACCTTCATTGGAATCACCCATAGGCCTGGTAGAATCACTCCTCTTCCTGACCTTCATCACTCCATTAGCAGGAGAAAATAGGATGGTGGGGACTCTACGCTCAGGATAAGATCATCCCTCCTCCACCAGATATCATATCATCGCTTCCACAAATGAATAAAAGCCCAGGACTCTGTGGGCTTCTGGTAAGACCCCACCCCCCAACCCTCCATCCCACCAGCACCCACAGCCACACCTCTAATGTCTGCCTTGAAACTACCGGGGCTAATCTCTTCATGTCTGTTAGTTTCATATCCTTCAGGCCCAGGACCCCCAAGTCACCCCTAATTCTCCAGACCTTGATCACCATGTTCTCCATGAATGAGAAGCAACCCTCTACCACCCAGCACACATCAGCCCCCTCCCCTACTTCATTTTTCTTTACAACACTTACCACTACTTGACAGACTGTATTTTTATGATTTACTGTCACCACCAGGGCAGGGAGGGTTGTCTATTTTCTTCACTGGTGTATTCCTACCACCCAGAATACTGCCTAGCACACAGGCAGTATTCATCAAACAAATGAAAGAAATGGACTTTCATGGTTCTTTATGATCTTTTAAATAGACCCTCATTCATGCCAAGGGCCATTTGGAAGCCCCATGCCCTGCCAGCCTCTCTTGCATAACACATTAGCCCAAGCCTGCACCAACTATGCCACTTGCATTCATGTAGCACAAGGAGAATCGTAGCCCTGGACTCACTGACAAATAGCAGCCTCAGGCTCAGTATTCTGCCTTGCGTGAAATATAAAATGGTATGACTCATACAGCAATGATCATACACTCACTCCTCCAAAAACCAGCAAATGCCAAGTCCTGAACTTAAACCTGTCTTTCAGGGCAAGCCACTCAGAGATCCATTTCCAAGTTGTAGTTACATGGCAAAAAAAAAAAAAGTTTTATAATAACATGATCCTCCACATTCTGTCAGCCACAGTGCTCCCCAAATATGGGGTACACGGGCAAGAGAAAGAAGCCATTGGTGAGCCTCCTCCTCTTAAAGAAAATGGTCTCATGTTGGCCTCTGAACCACCATTGGTGACAAAATCCATCGAGATTTTCTACCACCATCAAGAGCTGCCCAGACTTTGCCAGGGCAGTGGGCGATACTGCCTGGCAGAACACATGCCCAAGTTAGTACAGAGGATTCCTCCCCCACCGCGGATTCTAATTTTAAAAGCAGAAGAAAGAGGCAGGGAAGGGAGGAGCTGAGGGAAAGGAGGGAGGGAAAGTACGGCAGTGTTCACTTACCGGTAAATGATGCCCTTGCTCTGCAAGAAGAACAGACCGATGGCAATTTCGGCAGCGTAAAATCTGAAATTAAAAAAAAAAAAAAAAGTGATGGAGAAATTCAAGGACAACAGATGCATAGCAACTCTCAGAATTCAATTTCGGCAGCGTAAAATCTGAAATTTAAAAAAAAAAAAAGTGATGGAGAAATTCAAGGACAACAGATGCATAGCAACTCTCAGAATTCGAAACAATACTGAACTAGGCATAGAGCATTAAAGTCCCACCATGGGTGGGCAGCTATACATCTCATAAATGCCAAGAGGAGGAATGAACTATCAGGATGGTTTAGAGAGCTGTGAGGCCACCGAAGTGACACACTGGGGGTGGGCAGAGGTTCAACAAATGCGTAGTGGAAAGGGGGCCATGGGATATGATAAACTGGATGAAAAATGATAGTTTCAGGCTACAGCAAGTTAAAATATCTTAATAATAATAGCTGACATCTGTTGAAGTCTTACCATCTATCTACCATCATTTTAAGCATTGTCTGATTTAATCCTGTGAGGAAGGTCTACTATTACACTCCCTGTTCTTCAGATGAGGAAACTGAGGTTAGAGAGATGAAATAACTTGGTCAAGTTCTGCAGCTAATGAATGGCACAGCCAGGATTGGAAAGAACATCCATCCAAAGTGTAACCTTGTAATGAAGGCCCACCCCGAAGGAAAGAAGTTTTGAGAGAACTAGAAAGCCCAGTTATACCACAAGGGTTCAGCAGAGCTTTGGGGAACTATGTTAAGTGTCCCAACAATACGTCTGTGTGATAATGGAATTAGAGCCCTTAGTGAATTAGATGTTAGAAGTAAAGAAGAGACAGCTCTATTGTCCCATTAGAATTATGCCAAGAGAGCTGGCCGGTTAGCTCAGCTGGTTAGAGCGTGGTGCTGTAACACCAAGGTCAAGGGTTCAGATCCCTGTACTGGCCAGCCACCAAAAAAATAATTATGCCAAGAGATATGAGTGGCTTGATTTGGAAGCACAAGAAAATGTAAACTACTGGAGCACAGTGCTCACAACCTCAGCAGGTGGGAGGAGGAGGGGCAAGCTGAATGGAACAGGAGCCCACAAGCCTCTAGAATGATAAGGTGGGGCCACAGACAAGCCCTGGGGGCTTTCTGAAGGTGCAACAAGATCTTAGCTAACTCCCTATGAGAGGTTACCATTGCTAATTCCTATGACTTGTCATGTTCCTGTTCACCGACAGAGTTCTAAGCAAGGAAATAACGTGATGAGGTTTGAGCTCTGCAGAGAAGAGACTCTGACTGCCTTGTGGACTGAGAGGACAGAATGAACTCAGCAGAGGAAACACATTTCCAAAAACTCAGAATCAGGCTCCCCATCCCAGAAACCACAGACTGCTGCCACTATTCAGCCTGATCCTTCTTCTCCCTGGAGTGAAGGCATCTAAGACAGAGAGTGGTGTAGGATAGAGAACACGAGCAAAAAAGTCGAGTTCAGGAGTCTAGATCAGCCTCGCACTAGCTCTGTGATCTTGAGCAAGTTTCCATAACTCCCAGGGTCTCTCAGTTTCCTTGTTTGTAAAGCAGAGGTGATAATACCAACCTCTCAGAGTTGTTTCAGGATGAAACGAGACAACGTTTGTTAAGCATTTAGGGCCTGGCACACAGTAAGTTCTCAATAAATACTAGCAAATGAAAAAACAAAATCTACAAAGACATTTCCCAAGGAAGCTATAGGGCCTTCCTCAGGAGTTAGGGACAAGAATTAGAGATAAAGAAATAGCTGTGGTTTTAGAGCTTAACTTCTCAGCCTGAAAAAAAAAAAACAAAAACAAACCAAAAAAGAAGCATCCCATATCAAGCAGAACACCTTCCTCCCCTGGCCAAATATTTCTCATGAAGCAGCAGCCTGAAATGTTTAAAAATTCTTCTCTGGCTAAAACCCCAAAGGAACCAACAACCCACCCATTTATCCCAAGGGAAAAGCACAGTAGAAGTTTCCACTTACACAGCATGAGGCTCCTTAAACCGGCCAACTTGCTGGATGTGGTACATGAGGTCTCCCCCGTTCACGTACTCCATCACGAAGTACAGGCGGTCCTGGAAAAAGAGAGCGAACAACAAAATCACCACCCTGTAGTTTCTCAGGTTCCAAATGGAGAGCAGGGAATAGCTGGAATTTATGACGAATGGCACCAAGACTCTCTGACAGATCCCTGTGAGCCAGGCCTAATGCTTCTCCAAGTGTAACATTTGTGGCACTGGAAGTATACAAGTGAAAACAGGTGGTAGACAATTTTTTTAAATTAATAATTACAAGTTTATATTTGTTTGTGCTAGAAAATATTAATAGTACATTAATCTTGTGACTTAATTGATACTATTGTTTAGGACAAAGCTAGTTTCAACAAAAAGTGAAAATGTTTGGTAAATAATATCACAGCTGACAGGTAGCTGTGGTAGCTGGCCTCTATGATGGACTCCCAGAGACTTTTCACCTCCTGGTGTTCATGCCCTTGCATAGCACCTTTGCACAATGAATAGGACTGATTCAAGTAACCAACAGGGTATTATAAAAATGACACTGTGTGTCTTCCGGGACCAGGTCCTAAAAGACCTTACAGCTTCCACCCTGCTCTCTCTTGGATCATATGCTCTGGGGGAAGCCAGCTGCCATGTCATGAGGACACTCAAGCAGCACTGTGGAAAGGTATATCAAAGAATGGAGACCTCCTGCCAACAGCCAGCACCAACCACCCAGTCATGTGAGTGAACCACCTTGTGCCCAGTCAAGCTTCCAGGTGACTGCAATCCCTGCCGGCAACTTGACCGCAATCCCAAAGTCAGAATCACCTAGGGAAGCCACTACCAAATTCCTGACCCACAGAAAGGGTGGGAAAATAAATGTTTATTGTGGATTTAAGCCACTGAATTTTTGAGGTACTCTGCGATAGATAACTAATACAGTGGCTATCAAAAACAAAACAAAACATGAATGATCTAACTTTGAAAAATAGTAGCCTAGGAGGGCATATCCATACGTAGAAGAATTGGGGCCAGAAAAAGAAATCTGTACCCTATTCAGGGGATTTTTTTCAACATGGACAAAACAAAACATGAATGATCTAACTTTGAAAAATAGTAGCCTAGGAGGGCATATCCAGAAGTAGAAGAATTGGGGCCAGAAAAAGAAATCTGTACCCTATTCAGGGGATTTTTTTCAACATGTCTTTCAAGGGATACTGTGAACTCATTCAAATCAGGAGATATGTCCTCCTGGGCTGTGTAAACCCTGTTTCTGGTACCATGACTAGCATGTAGTAAGTGCCCAGAGAGTGAAAGAGCATAGGCTTTGGTGCCAAAGAGACTTTATTTGGAAACCCACTTCTGCATCCTGATAGCTGGGTCTATTTGGAGAGATATTTAATATCTGGGTTTCCTCATCTGTAAAGAGGAGAAAATAAAACCACAGTGGTCGTGTTGGGATTAAATGAGACAGATGCATGTTACGGTCCTTGGACAGCACCCAAATGTGACTTGTCCTCTCTCCATCAAAGCATGTTTGCTAAATGAATGAATGACTTCACCTCTTCTTAGAAACATCTGCTTGGGTTAAAGCACTCTTTATGTTACATTCCTTTGGTTTGCATTGGTAGGGTCTGCACTAACTAATTGCAGGGAACTGAAGTCTCTTTCATGTTCTCAGCCTGAAATAAAATCACGTTCCCTAACCCACCCAATCTAAATTAGGTCTGCCTGTTAGATTCTTTCATGAGTCTCTGTGGGTTTTTTCCCTCTGATCACATCATTATTTTTAATTATATATTTAACTGGATGATTATTTCTTCTATTTATTCACTCAGGAATTAAGTAAAAAAAATCTATAGAGCCCTACTAGGAAAAAGGTTATAGGTTCTGGGGACAGAGTGGGGAATAAGACCAACAAAACTCCCCTGCCTTTATCTTCCATTCTAGTAGGGGGATGCAGATGAAGACAATAAACACTAAACATAATAAATAAGTTATATAAAACGTTAACAGGTAATAAGTGCCATGATAAAAACAGAGTAGAGTAAGGGAGATTAAGAGTGCCAGCTGGGTGAGATGCAAGAAGGGAGTTCCAATTCCACTGAAGTCTTCAAGATAAACCTTATTGAGGAGATGCTTCAGTAAAGACCTGAAGAAGGTGATGGAGGCTGCTATGCAGATAACTAGAGCAAGAGCTTAACAGGTGGAGAAAACAGCCTGTGCAAGGCCCTGAGGCCAAAGCACACCTGATGTGCTTTAGGAACCCTGAGGAATGAGTGTGATTGGAGAAGAGAGAAAGGAGACAGGGTAGGAGACAAGGACAGAGAGGCCTGACTCAGATCAGAAGGGCTCACAGCCTAAAAAAAGACTGGTTTTCACTCTAAAGGGAACTGTCTAGTGCCAGATAGAACAGAAAGTTCCACAAAGCCAGGGACCATGTCAAATTTGCTTAACATGGTGTACCAAGGACTTGGTACCACACCTGGCCAAAGTGAGCTAATTAAGTGAATGAATGAATGATCCTGGGGCAGCAGGATTTAGTGGGTCTCCAAAATAAGACCAACAAAACTCCCCTGCCTTTATCTTCCATTCTAGTAGGGGGATGCAGATGAAGACAATAAACACTAAACATAATAAATAAGTTATATAAAACGTTAACAGGTAATAAGTGCCATGATAAAAACAGAGTAGAGTAAGGGAGATTAAGAGTGCCAGCTGGGTGAGATGCAAGAAGGGAGTTCCAATTCCACTGAAGTCTTCAAGATAAACCTTATTGAGGAGATGCTTCAGTAAAGACCTGAAGAAGGTGATGGAGGCTGCTATGCAGATAACTAGAGCAAGAGCTTAACAGGTGGAGAAAACAGCCTGTGCAAGGCCCTGAGGCCAAAGCACACCTGATGTGCTTTAGGAACCCTGAGGAATGAGTGTGATTGGAGAAGAGAGAAAGGAGACAGGGTAGGAGACAAGGACAGAGAGGCCTGACTCAGATCAGAAGGGCTCACAGCCTAAAAAAAGACTGGTTTTCACTCTAAAGGGAACTGTCTAGTGCCAGATAGAACAGAAAGTTCCACAAAGCCAGGGACCATGTCAAATTTGCTTAACATGGTGTACCAAGGACTTGGTACCACACCTGGCCAAAGTGAGCTAATTAAGTGAATGAATGAATGATCCTGGGGCAGCAGGATTTAGTGGGTCTCCAAAGCAGCAGTCATACGGTCAGGAGGTTGGAATTGAAGCCCTGGCCCCACAGTTTCTAGCTGGGTGAGCTTGGGAAGACCACTTTATATCCCTGAGCCTTGATATCTTCACAGATAATATAGTCAACCGTATCTAACAGAGTGAATGAGGGGCTCAAATGAAACATGCACAGTGCAGCAAACTGTAAATGCAATGAAAATGAGATGGCCTGTTGGCACTGCCTGGTCTTGTATGCCAGACCGGTGTTTTTCAACTTGTATCTCACTTGAATTGATCATTAAATCAATTTGGTGGGTCATGATCAATTTTAAGAAAGAAGGAAAGAGAGAAAGAGAGTAGAGAAAGAAAGACAGACAGACACAAGGAGAGAGAGGGAGAGGGAGAGAAAGAGAAGGAAGGAAGGAAGGAAGGAAGGAAGGAAGGAAGGAAGGAAGGAAGGAANATATTTAATATCTGGGTTTCCTCATCTGTAAAGAGGAGAAAATAAAACCACAGTGGTCGTGTTGGGATTAAATGAGACAGATGCATGTTACGGTCCTTGGACAGCACCCAAATGTGACTTGTCCTCTCTCCATCAAAGCATGTTTGCTAAATGAATGAATGACTTCACCTCTTCTTAGAAACATCTGCTTGGGTTAAAGCACTCTTTATGTTACATTCCTTTGGTTTGCATTGGCAGGGTCTGCACTAACTAATTGCAGGGAACTGAAGTCTCTTTCATGTTCTCAGCCTGAAATAAAATCACGTTCCCTAACCCACCCAATCTAAATTAGGTCTGCCTGTTAGATTCTTTCATGAGTCTCTGTGGGTTTTTTCCCTCTGATCACATCATTATTTTTAATTATATATTTAACTGGATGATTATTTCTTCTATTTATTCACTCAGGAATTAAGTAAAAAAAATCTATAGAGCCCTACTAGGAAAAAGGTTATAGGTTCTGGGGACAGAGTGGGGAATAAGACCAACAAAACTCCCCTGCCTTTATCTTCCATTCTAGTAGGGGGATGCAGATGAAGACAATAAACACTAAACATAATAAATAAGTTATATAAAACGTTAACAGGTAATAAGTGCCATGATAAAAACAGAGTAGAGTAAGGGAGATTAAGAGTGCCAGCTGGGTGAGATGCAAGAAGGGAGTTCCAATTCCACTGAAGTCTTCAAGATAAACCTTATTGAGGAGATGCTTCAGTAAAGACCTGAAGAAGGTGATGGAGGCTGCTATGCAGATAACTAGAGCAAGAGCTTAACAGGTGGAGAAAACAGCCTGTGCAAGGCCCTGAGGCCAAAGCACACCTGATGTGCTTTAGGAACCCTGAGGAATGAGTGTGATTGGAGAAGAGAGAAAGGAGACAGGGTAGGAGACAAGGACAGAGAGGCCTGACTCAGATCAGAAGGGCTCACAGCCTAAAAAAAGACTGGTTTTCACTCTAAAGGGAACTGTCTAGTGCCAGATAGAACAGAAAGTTCCACAAAGCCAGGGACCATGTCAAATTTGCTTAACATGGTGTACCAAGGACTTGGAACCACACCTGGCCAAAGTGAGCTAATTAAGTGAATGAATGAATGATCCTGGGGCAGCAGGATTTAGTGGGTCTCCAAAGCAGCAGTCATACGGTCAGGAGGTTGGAATTGAAGCCCTGGCCCCACAGTTTCTAGCTGGGTGAGCTTGGGAAGACCACTTTATATCCCTGAGCCTTGATATCTTCACAGATAATATAGTCAACCGTATCTAACAGAGTGAATGAGGGGCTCAAATGAAACATGCACAGTGCAGCAAACTGTAAATGCAATGAAAATGAGATGGCCTGTTGGCACTGCCTGGTCTTGTATGCCAGACCGGTGTTTTTCAACTTGTATCTCACTTGAATTG